TTTATAGTGTGCTTAGCTGCAAAGTGGTATTTTGCAAATAGCTGAGGAAATATACCTCAGGCACTTTATTAAGAGAGCTTTAAAAAAATAAATAGCATTTTAAAGGAGAAACTTGAGCTGTTATTCTAGTCCATTCTTACTTTCTGTTAAAATCTTGGTTTCAGGCTGTGGCTTAAAGTTTGACTGTTACCCAATCTGCTCTTAATTTATGAAGTAAGATTTCCTTTCCCATTTACAAATGGATTTGTAGCAATCCAGGCATCTTGGCAATTCTCCATTTATTCGCCAAACAAATACTAGGAAACCCGAGTAATTCGCTATCAGCCACAGAGCAAGAGGAAAAGTGTCAAATTGACTGCTTCTCATGAAGGGAACAAATCAACTGATTTTCAGAAGAAATGTTTTAAGATCATCCATGAATCACTGCAAACTAATGTATTTTTTGTAAAGCTAACATTGGCAATTGATGTTTCAGTAGAAGATAATATTTATAGCTCAGAATTGAACCATGCGTCCTCAGTGCTCGCTGAACTTGGTTGTTTACTTCCAGATATTTCATTACCCAACTAGGTAACATCATCAGTATGAGTGAGTGTGAGATTTTCATCCTGTTTATATATAATAATTTGGGAGTTTTCCTTGCTGAATGCACTTTTTCTTTATAAGCATACATGTTTTTGTATGTTTATCAAATGCACACAGAGAGGCAGAGTACTGTAAAGCAGTAATCCCCAACTTCTCTGGCTCCAGGAACTGGTTTCAGAAGAAAAAAATGTCTTCCACGGACTGGGGGGGGGAGATGGTTTCGTGCACATAACCTAGATCCCGCACATGTGCAGGTGAAGCTTCACTCACTCACCCATCAGATACTGGTCCACGGCTTGGGGGTGGGGGACCCTTGCTGTAAAAGTACCATCATTTATGAGTGTTTTTGTTAATTCTCTGTACTGTTATTTAATTTTGTGGAAGAAAAATCCAGAAGTATGGTGATAAATATTGTAAAGCTGTCCTATGAATTTTATGAGCATAGCTATTTTCAGCCTGGCCAATTCTTGGCCCCAAATATATTCCAGTTAGTAAAATGTATTTAATCCAGACTTTGGCACATTGTCCTGTCTTCCATTGGGAAGTGGTACAGAAACACGGTTTCTCTCTGTGGTGAGGTGCCTTCAATTCACAATACAACAACTAGAAATCTGAAAAGTTTACCATCTGGATGGGAGAGAGGGCAAATCAGCGAGTCTTCCCTTTTTCCTCTTCCCTGTCAGCTAACAGCTAGTGGATCACGTTTTTTTTTTTAAAAAAAGATCTCCAGATAAGCACTTTGAGTCAGTTGAAGCATCCATAGACACATTTTCTTATTTATGTTACTGTAGCTACTACCATAATTTCTTAATTCTGATTAAAGTCACTTAAGGTCAGTTTTTTGATCATTTGTCAGCCCGTATCATTTGTCAGACTTAATACGACACAGAAACTAGTTTGAAAAAGATTTATCCTGTGAACAGAATATGCTGAAATTCTCCGAGGCTTCTCTGGGAACCCTTCAGGGGAACAGCAGCATGTGGGAGAGAGAGCTTTTTGTAAAAGCAATAACCATTCCCTGCCCAGTGACTGTGTTATCCTGTTTGCGCATTGAGGGCATTTTCTATTGTCCCTGTCTTATAAAAATGGGGGGAAGGGGCTTAAATGTCTACATGCATGCATGTATATATATATATATGCAACAGCAAAACCAAATATTAAAATTTACATTTATTGAAAAATGTATTCCTTACTGAAGACCTATTAAATGGGAAAAGGCTATTAGGAAAGTTCCAGATACACCTCCCAGTTAAGGATGTTTGTTTCTACCTTACCTTACCTTACCTTATGTTACCTTACCTCACTACACCTCACCTCACTTTATCTTACCTTAATTTTTGACATTTATTTTGACATGAGGAAATGAGCAGTCTAGAGTCAGAGGAGGTGATCCCTCAGATGCTATTTATTCTGAAATGGGTGGACCATGTATTTAATGTAGGAGTAGGAAATATTCTCACTTTTTAACTCTATTTAATGTGTATCAAGAGAACCAAGAAACTGCTGTAGAAAGTCAGAAAAATAGATTGTTGTGTCTTAAAGGATTAACGGCTGGAATATATTTAGAATCTGACAGAACATTTTAACTGTACTTACCTTCTTATTTAATGCAAATCATTCACTGCCCTGACAATTACTTAACTGCAATGTAGCTATAACATTGATAATGCCCTATATACCTAGCTATAATTTCTGGCTTCTTTGCAGTGATGATTGCCCAAATAGTTCATTCTTAACTTACAACTTTTAATTGTATAAAAAGAAGTTTAAAAATCCCTATGATTATAAGATTCAAGATATGCTATCTGATGGCAATAATAGAAGTAAATAGTCCAGAGGGAGAAGTCTATGCTGATGATTGTCTTTACCTGGTTTGATGGGTGTCACTGATATTCATCCCTTGTCAATAGAATCTCAATAATGCTTCATATTTATAGATAGGAGGTTTAATTACTGCTTTGGTTTCTCTGCTTGCCTGAAACCTAGGAAATGAGGAATATTTAACTAGTGTCCTAACATCACTTCTAGGACTTGACTCAAGCTGTACAGATGATGCAGAAGCAACTGGCACAGTGGAAAAGAATGAAGGCTATGCCAACTCTTGGTATC